ATTGGCCCACGACACCTCCAGAGGGTTCAGTGTCCCAGGTTCACCCTCTAGATGCCATCTACTCATTTGAGGGCCCAGGTGGAGTCCTTCCTCTTTATCCAAAACCACTGACTCCCCTTTTCAGCTGCTCTGGAGAGGTCCTTGACTGCCTGCCGGTGGGCCTTCCCTCGCACTCCCATCTCCCGGAGTAGCCTGGATGTTGAGGTGGCTATGAACCCTCTGCAGCCGACATCCACTGCTCATACCTTCGCTGTCCAGCCTTGTTGTTGTACATCAGCTGCAAGCTCAGCATACCTCAGCTTCTTGCACCCGTAGGCCTCCTCCACTGCACTCTCCCAGGGCACTGTCAGCAGCCCACCAAGATGTGCTTAAGTGTGGATTTGAATGTTTTGTTGATTTTTTTTTTACCTGCAAAACCACAAATTACTGACGTGTTTCTCACTCATCATGCCAAAGTTTTTAGTGTACTGGCTTCCTACAGTATCGTCACATGGCAGCTGCAGGACAGTTAAAGGGTGAGTTTTCATCCTGGACCCTATTTCCTCATGTTTCTCTGGTTTGGTGTAAATTAACCCTTAATTCACCAGTTAGATGTCATACATGCTGCAGGGTCCAGTTTGAAAAATACGAGAGTTGCACTTTACGGTTAGAAACAGATCAACTATATGTCACATGAATGTGACTCACACGTTCTGGAGTGTTGCCAGTGGTGTAAACCAAACAGCAACTTTACCTACAACACATATTTGACGATATGAATTTGCAGTGTTTATTTTTAGGAGACAAGGTTTTCTTCTTCGCCCACCTCATCAATTATTTCCTGATATAAAGACATATTGTCATTGTAATATTTAACAGAGGCTGTGGAGACACAATATAGACGACATTAATTATAGTTTGATCCAAGTCTTAAACTGACGGAGATCCAATCTAGAATCTGTCCACACAGATTTCATTATCAACTCAATTAGTCAGACTGCCTGCTAACTGCTGACACATCCAAACACACACACACACACACACACACACACACACATTCACATATCAAGACAGTCTGAGTCTGTTCTTCTGATACTGAAGCAATTACAGCCACCGACCAGTCACAGTGACAGCGTCGTGTTTATATGATTTATCATGACTCAAATCAGCAGAACAGAAGCAATGTCAAAACAAAACACACACACACACACACACACACACTCTGCACTCTGAGTCCGTGCAGCATTGTGGTGTTATTATGTTGTCTAATGCAGCCAATTAGTGCACAGATAGTTGTTGGCGTGTCACTGACTTGTCAAACACTGCGGAGCGATGCTGCCATGTTGCAATCACAAACTTTCTCTGTAAGCCCTGCCGAGCAGCTCAGGCATGATGCTGCTGAGCGAACAAGGTGCTAAAGCTACACACACACACACACACACACACACATAATTTGATGCACCACCCGGCAGACGCACAAAGTGAATCCAGTCACACTCTGTCATGTTGGAATCAGGTATTCAGCGCGTGCGTTTGGTCGTTTCAGGAAGTGTTTGTCAGAAGTGCCAGAGCTTTAAAGTGCTGGTCAGAAATAAAGGAGAGGTGAGATTTGGTGCAAAAACAGACAGGAAGTGTTTGTTCCAATCAGCCTCAGAAATACTCATCAGTTCAAAAGGAGGAAGAGGTGGCACACCATGAAGGCAGCACACCACCTGCAGCGCTTCAGAATATAATAAAATATTATCTCTGACTGAGCCAAAATGTTTATTACAAATTAGACTTCTCTGTGTTTGATGGTTGTTTGAATATTTAACATTATAGATAAACACTGAAGGAAGTTTTCAGAGGCTTTAAAACAGCTTTTTATTTTTTACTTTTCATAAAGTTTGTGCTCAGAGTCAGTGAAGCAGGGGCTGAAATATCCCTACATCTGGATCAAGCTCCAAAGACACTGGATCCTACACTTCCCAGAATGCAACGCAGTGACAACAAAACTTTTGAACCACTGTACATTCCTGCAAATCAAAGATGTGGTAAATGTGTACGTTATTGCTCAGCAGATATGTTGAAGTTTAATCAGCGCTGTGGTTAACGTGCGTTTAGCTAAAGTTTAGGCTCCGTTTAGACGACAACAGTTTCTCTAAAAACGAAAATGGTGGCTTGAATTTAAAAAATATTCCATCCTGGATTGATGTAATTTACCATAAGAGTTCCTGGAGAACACGTCAAAACCTGTTGTCAGTGTATTTTTTCTTTGACCGTTTTTCCATTTAAAATCTTACCATCTGGATTTGCTGTGTAAAGGGATATTAGTGAACCTTTCACCATTTTTTAAAGATGCACTAAAGGCTTGGTTGAGTTTGCGGTATTATCCTCCTGACACCCCAGAAGATATTAATAGACGAGAAGCCTGTTCTATGGGAAACATTTTGGAGAAATGGAATTGTTTTTGTAAACGACATACTAGATAGCGCGGGTGATTTCCTTTCATATCACAAATTTTGCAGGTTGTATGGACAAATATGTATTACCTTTAACTTCAGTCATCCCAATTAATCGGAAACGGGAGTTAAAATGTAGTGGATACAAACTGCAGGTCTGTGCACCTATAACAAGATGTCAATTGATTCTTACTCTAGAATTTTTCAATTTAAGATTTTTTATAAAATTACTGCTATTAAAAAGCAACTTAATATGTTTAATATTGTACAGTCATCATTATGTAGATTTTGTAATGAAGAAGAAGAAGACCAGATGCATTTATTTTCTTACTGTCCCTATGTTGTAAGTTGGTGGACCAATATCCAAAACTGCCTAAGGACATTGGATATCTGTCTTAAATTTATACCCTTACATATTATGTTGGGAGATTTGGATGAAAATTGTCCCCAGATAACAAATACAATTGTTTGTTAGGTAAAATATTTATATTAAAAGCTCAATCAAGAACCAGCCTAGATATAAGTTTGTTTAAAATTATATTACCAAGCCAATTTCTTTTGGAAAAAATAGTCGCTGCAAATAACTGTAAAGTAGCACTACATAATATGAAATGGGAAAAAATTTCCTGTACTGAAGAGTGGGATTATATACAATTATAAATACACTCTTTCATATGGATATCTTGTTTGTTTTAATGTGACGCTATTGTAAATGTATTTCTTGAATATTTGAAGGGATCCTATATATTTTATTTTGTCTTGTCTTATTGTTTTGTTTTTATTTGTGTTTCTTTGTTTGATGTTATGTTATTATATTGTTGTGTGTGATATGTTTGTTTGTACGCTCGCCTGTATTAAATTAATAAAAAACAAAAAAATGGAAAAGTCTGTCCTTTGCGTTTTAGAAAACTTCCACGTTTGTATGACGACGTTATTGAAACGATCTCCGTTCACATGGAGCCACAAAATTGAGTAAGGTAAAGCTGCAGTGCCGGAGGCTGCAGTTTCAGGACCGCAGTTTGAGGTTTATTTTTATTTTTTTGCTTTACCCAAATACTACGTTCTTATTAAAGTAACACGTAATTTGATTGATGAAGCCCAGGTAACTATACATTACCACTGCCGGTCCTCTCACACACACCTAAACATCCGTCCTGGGATATACAGTGTCGGGCTGCTTTGCCTGACCTCCACGGAGGTACATCCACGGAGGTCAGGCAAGTCGACTTTCTCGCGCATGCCTAGTGACTGGAACCGTAATGAGCACGTGTGAAAAGTCTCCGTTTTCAGAGGGACTGTGCCGTTTCCAAAAAAATGCACTCTGGAACCTGTTTTCAAAACGTTTTCAGGCGCCCAAAATGCCACTGTCGTGTAAACGATCGGCCAAAATGTAACTAAAATTTACTGTTTTCAGTTGAAATCATTGTCGTATAAACGGGACCTTAGTGGGCACTATATACTGCAGTGTGTGTGTGTGTGTGTGTGTGTGTGTGTGTGTGTATGTGTTTGCTAGCTGCAGGTGTCTCACCTGGCAGCTGTAGCCCCGCCTCCATTTCCTATTTCCTTCAATGCTTCGTCCTTCTTTACGAAGGCGATCACAAGGCTTCACAAGGTTTTCCTCACGTTTCTTTTAGCGCTTTAGTTTTGCCTCCATGGTTTGATTGGCTCATTTCATGCTGCATTTCTATTGGTTGGTCAGTAGTCGTAGGTGGTGACAGCATCACACTGTCAGAGTTTGATCCCAGGCTGTCTCTGATCACAGACCGTGACGACGACCATCCTTGACCCTCTCTGACTGTGTGACATAGGACCACCGTGTTAGAGCCACGCCAAAGATATCGCCACGTTTCGTTGCCGCCAGTCGTCTTCAGTCTGGGACAGACCAGGGTCACACCATGGATACTAAACTTTAGATTAATGTTGGAGTTCCTCTCTAACATCTGGAGTGGGTTTTGCACCTGGACTCGTCACTGTTTCGCAAACCAGCTGATAAATGTTGTTAAGAGAGAAAGACAAGGAGTGATGACAGAGGAGACATTATCCAGGTGAAACACCAGAGGAACCACACGACAGTGATGACAGAGAATTTAGGTTATATTCAGTGTGTGTGTGTGTGTGTGTGTGTGTGTGTGTGTGTGTGTGTGAAACCTCCTGAAGCTTCATTCTGCAGTAAAAATGAAACGATTCATTTCATTTTAATTTAAATGTCCATTGAGTGTAATGTCTCATTTGCATATTCCACCTTAAACCAAACAGCCTGATTTGCATTTCCCCCTTAAGTTAAACCAATCGTATCCCCCCCCCCCCCCCCCCCCACCCCCCCCCCCCCCCCCCCCCCCCCCCCCCACACACACACACACACACACACACACACACCGACCCTCCAGCCAGCCAATCAGTTCTGCTGTGTGAGCCTCAGTCATGTGGATAATGAGCTGTCAGCCAATCCCGTTCAGCCCGGGAGCAGAGGGCTGGCTCGTGATTGGATGTCGACTGTGGATGAAGCGTGTCACAGCTTTGGAGTTCTGTTTCCACGGTAACTTATATATTTCATGATGTATTAGTGGAGCTGCCAGTTACCCTCCGTCTGTCATGCCTGGCCTCCTCCTGCAGCAGACCCATCTCTAGAACAACTGTTAAGAGGAGACTGCGCAAATCAGGCCTTCATGGTCAAATAGCTGCTAGGAAACCACTGCTAAGGAGAGGCAACAAGCAGAAGAGATTTGTTTGGGCCAAGAAACACAAGGAATGGACATTAGACCAGTGGAAATCTGTGCTTTGGTCTGATGAGTCCAAATTTGAGATCTTTGGTTCCAACCGC